ATCATATTAATTAGTTATAAATAATGTAATATCCTTGTACATTAAATTATTTGAAATAATTATATAATTATTATATAACACATTCTACACATATACAAATCTTGCGGCTATATAAAAATTAAAATTGAATGATCGTATTACACTTACGTTAGAGCAAGTTTATTAAAAGTTGCTCCCAAAAATAATTTACTACACATATTGTGTATTAGGTAGACATAGCAGTAATTATTAGCATGACGTTCCAACCATAAGTATACTAAGAAAGTAAATACGAAAATTAAAACGCTCTAGGTGTGCAACATACAAAATGATCATTTCATTTTTCATATATAAAAAAAAATATATTTACCATAATTTAAATTATACCACTTTAATAGATAAAATCTAGATACTCAAATATTGAGCAATTAAATTAAAAAAAAAATCGTATAGCAATAATAAAGTCGTGAAACTAAATTATATCTATATAATCAATGTGAAAATAACTTATAATTACACCCTACCTACATAAACACATAATATTAATGCCAACAGCATGTAGGGTACCCCACGGTGTAAACTATTCAATCTTACATATTAACACTCATTTCATTCGACTTTTAATTTGGAGAACTAAATTAGTTAGCTGTTCTATCAGATATTTTGTATTAATTATCAAATTATACTTAATTTAATAATTATGTACATATATGTCAATATGTCGTTAATTACATATTATAATATACACATATAATTGTAAGTGTAAATTATAGTGATCTATAAATATTGAATATACTCCCAACTATCCCAATAAAATGACGGTAATTTCACAAGTTTCCTATATTTCTTCAGGATAGCTTGCCTTTAAATTGGTCCTATGTAACACACAAAGAGTCAAACCAGTCTGCACAGCAGGCGTTATACGCAGGGAAGTTTTGGTTTTTTATTTTAATAAATTAACATTCCTAGGCATGAATATCAATTAGCCATTGCAAATATGGCAGTTTCCTTGTAAAATAAAAGTATGTATTGTCAATCTCTGCCTGAAGTTAAAAATTTTATGTTATAAATTTTTGATATGCAGCTTAGTCGAAATGTACTTCCAATAAATAATTCAATAATAGTAGCTGACAAATAAATTTAAAAATTTCCGGAAAATCTTATTATAATATTAAGTACTTTATTTAAATTCTCACTAAAATTAAATTTTAAATTATACGTATACTATATCAACAATACAATGTATTATGCATAGTTTCTTCAAGGACTTACCATATAAACTTGTCATCCAAAATATTTCTATATTTTATTATTTTCTATAAATATTTGCAATATAATAACGGAATATCTAGCTGTATGCAAATAATAAACAAGAATAATCGCAATTTTGATATTATTTTGATGTGTAGTGTACTTGCACACCTATATTATATACAAAAATATATTTATTAATTTTCAGTTGTAATATATATTTTATTTGCACAATTTTTTTTCCCCGAGTTATAGAAATAACAATGCTTCTAAAGCTTAGAAAAAAATTGAATGTGATTAGACATGGGATCTACATTTTTTATTTTTATGCAAGTAATAAATATCGAACTCTGAATATCATAACAAAAGGCAAGAAATTTTTATATTTTCTTCAACCATAAATTTCAATGTATTTTTCCATCTCTTAGTTAGCCTTGTCTGACTTATTTTTTTTTCATTTTCTTTTTGGTTTTTTATTCCTATCTTAATAAAAACTTTGTATTTTGTATTCTGCGAGTTCATTAATTTATCTTAAATAGTTAATAATAACAATAACCCTAATATCCAATTACTAACAATTCATGTTTGGCCCTGTAAACTATTTTCAAAACTCACATTTTTAAATTAAAAATAAATAAATCGTGATTTAACAAAAAAAACAATATCCATTAAAAGTTTTAGGAAAAAAAATCTTGAGCATTCAATAATCTAGATCTTTTATTATTTTCATTTAATTTTTACTCTTAAATAACCATTTTATTACCAAGATTATATTTTAATTTTCATATTCTCCAATAATCTTAATATTGAAAAAAGAATAAATATATTATATAAATAACAAAATATTTTGTTACGGTTTTGAATTTTATTTTAATTTTAAGTAAACCAAAACTTTTTCAAAGGCAAAGATCAGAACACAAAAATGTAAAAGGAAATCAAAGGTATAGTCACGTCCAATCAAAATAGACACCAAATAAATATAAATGTATGTATGTATGTATGTGTGTACATGTTATAATAACTTATATAAAAATATTTTTATTGAAGTGAAGTTGGAAAGATCTTACAATTTAAAAATCTTCAAACGCTTGATTAAATCTATTATTTTGAATAGATGCTAATAGAGTAATTTTTAAACTTTAAAATACATAAGCGGCTTTGTTTCATGTGAACCACTCCAAAACGATGACCATTAGTGTATGTGTTAATATTAACAAGTAAAAACGTTTCAGTCGGTATAAACCGATTGAATTATCCCCTGCACCTTTCGTTGACCTATAATTAGACATCCGACTGCCAAGTTTCATGAATCTGACTTTACAATTTTTCCAAATATTTAAAATTAGCTTGTGGAGTTGTATGGTAAATACCTGAACCTGCCAAGCAATTCCACCAAAACTTCACAAATATATCTGATCTATAATCGGACACACAACTGCCAAGTTTCATGAATCTGACTTTATTATTTTTCCAAATATTAAGAATAAGCATTTAGACTTGTATGGGAGCTACTCGAACCTGTCAAGCAATCCCACCAAAACTTTAGAAATATGTCTGACCTACAATTTGACACACGACTGCCAAGTCTCATGAATTTGACTTTATTATTTTTCCAAATATTTAAAATAAGCTTTTAGACTTGTATGGGAGCTACTCGAACCTGTCAAGTAATTCCACCAAAACTTCAGAAATATATTTGACCCATAATTGGACACATGACTGCCAAGTTTCATGAATCTGACTTTATTATTTTTCCAAATATTTAAAATTAGCTTCTGGAGTTGTATGGCAGGTACCCGAACCTGTCAAGCAATTCCTCTAAAACTTCAGAAATATATTTGACCTATAATTGGACACATGACTGCCAAGTTTCATGAATCTGACTTTATTATTTTGCCGAATATAAAAAATTTGCAGCTATCCCATTATAATTTTTAGAGCATGTGTAGAATATAATTGGACACATGTATACAAAATTTTATATTTATACCTTTATTAGTTTTTGAAATATTTAAAATAAACTCTTGGAGTTGTATGGCAGCTACCCGAACCCGTTGTCCGACTTAGTCCAATAACGATAGGGCTCGTCCTTGGCACAAAAGAAAAAACTTGTGAAAGTTTGGTGTCGATTGCATCATTCGTTTTTGAGTTATCGTGCGATCGGACGGACGGACGGACAGACAGACGGACATGTCTAAATCGACGCAGAATTTTACGCTGAGCAAGAATATATATATATGTCCATACCGCAGATGACTCCTTCAAGTAGTTACAAACCCCATACCAAAGTTAATATACCCTTCACGAAGTGCAGGGTATAAATATTTATTGAATAAGATTATTAATATAAGAAACACAAACACTGATAATAATAGTTCCTATATGCAACATGAAAAGAATCTCTCAAACCTCATTGAAGACTTTTTAAAATAAAATTCGTGCAGGATCAATGTCATGCAATATATGTTTGTATGTATATGTATGTAACTACATAACATTTATACACATATATCTAATATGTTTTACATATTTCGTACATACATATATATACATAAGTATGTATATACATATGTTAGTAAATTAAGATAGTAAGGGTTGAAACAAAGATGGTGTCTTATTTTATGGCTCCCGGAGTGGAAACCATTATAAACTTCGGGAAACGCGACTTATGCATCTTTACTTTTCAAACTTATACTTACATACTATGTTATACTTACCTTTTTTCAGAACAAGTTTTCAAATTTCCAGATTTTTTTAACAGTTTTTTCTTATTCTTTCCATAAGAAAGAATTCTGATTCCTCGTGAAAGATGGAAATGGTGATTCCTCCTCTGAAACGTGGAAGCATCTTTTTAAAAGTTATTTGAAAAAAAAATTTGCAAATTCCATCAAAAATTTTTAAAATTTCCTTTGATACACTCAAATTTTTGTCACTGTTTTGCCACTTTGCACCTTCTTAAGGTTCTTATGGATGTGAAACCTACGTATGCTGATAATTTTAAAATGAAAAACTTATTAGAATTAATTTTTTTTTAGAAATTTTTAGAAATTGCTAATTAAAATACGAATTGAAATTTAAGCAAATTCTATTTCACTTTTGAAAAAATTTTGTCTAAGAAAAATTTCCCACTTTGTAAAACTTTGAAAAAGTTTTGTTTTTATTTTACGTAACTACACCTATCCCTTGTTTTACGCGATTTCGGTTTTTCGTTTAGAAAATAAGGCAAAAAATTACTTTTTTCAAGAAAACAAAGTATGCGATATTTTTCTTTTTTAAAATTCCGTTCCAAAATAAAAAGCAACCCCTAAAAGAGTACAGAAAGCAGTATTTTGCTTAAATAATTCAATATATTTCTTTGTTTATTTTTTTAAAATTATAAATTAAATAAAAAGTAATTTTGTTAAAAATTTTGATATTTTCAATTTTATCCTAACAATATTGCACCAAAATTAAAAACTTTGAAGTCTTCCTTAACATCAATAAATTTCGGTTTGTATACACTTCTACAGCTTTCATAATGAATTTAATACGCTGCACTTACATTGAATTTGAAGATGATTGTATATACTGATCACTTTTTATTACCGGTTGAAACCAAAATTTTTAAAATATTTTTAAGAATATTAAATACGTTATGAAAGTTGTAGAAGTGTATGCAAAACAATTTTTTCAAATTTATATTGTGAATTCTATTTTGTATCATTTTGAATTTGCATTTCAACGAAACTTACAAATGGCAGCACTTGCGTTGACAATCGAGTTTTTTGACACCGGAAGCACTTCTATTGTTTAAGGTGCAAGTCAGCGGTATAGCAAAGTTAAGAGTATTTCATCTCGGTTATATTTTTATATTAAGTAATAAAAGAAGTTTAAATAATTCTATAATTTAAAAATGTAAGTATGCATGAAGAATTTAAGAGCGTAAAACATGAATCGCATTTATTTTCATAAATTTCACTAATAACCTCAATTACAAATTTTTGTAATCAAATTAAGTTTAAAATTTCTCCTGCTTGTATTGTAGATGTTCCTCACACGATCAGAATACGACAGAGGTGTAAATACATTTTCACCAGAAGGTCGTCTTTTTCAAGTGGAATATGCAATTGAGGCTATTAAATTGGGCTCGACTGCTATTGGTATCTGTACCAAGGAAGGTAACGTAAAAACAACATTATTTGAATATCTAAGTAATATATAAGACCCACTCCATATCCTTTAAGGGGTTGTACTTGCTGTTGAAAAGCGCATAACATCACCTCTAATGGAACCATCAACGGTAGAAAAAATTGTTGAAGTGGATACTCACATCGGCTGCGCTACATCTGGTTTAATGGCTGATGCAAGAACTCTTATTGATAGAGCAAGAGTTGAATGTCAAAATCATTGGTTTTCGTATAATGAACGTATGTCAATTGAGTCGTGTGCCCAAGCAGTTTCTAGTTTAGCTATTCAGTTTGGTGATAGTTCAGGAGGTTCAGCTATGTCCAGACCATTTGGGGTCGCAATTTTATTTGCAGGTGTTGACGAAGGTCAACCTCAATTATGGCACATGGATCCATCTGGAACCTATATTCAATATGGTGCAAAAGCTATAGGATCTGGTAGTGAAGGAGCGCAGCAAAATTTACAAGATAATTATACACCAGAAATGAGTTTAAATGATGCTGTTGATTTAGCACTAACCACATTAAAACAAGTAATGGAAGAAAAATTAAATTCCACAAATGTTGAAGTTATGCTTATGACACCAGAAAAATTATTTAGAATGCATACTAAACAAGAAGTTGAGGATATTATTGAAAAACTAAATTAAAAGTATCTCAAAAAATGCTTTTGATGTTTTGTAAACCTCTTAAAAATTTTTTTTTTATTTTAATAAAACAATATGAATATGATGATAAATTTTATAAAGTGTAATTTTATATTTTTTTTTACCACGGGTATGTTAACATCCAGACTCGCTTATTGGGAAATAGAAAAAAAAAAAAAAACAAAATGGTTTTTTAAAAAGTAGAAATTTATTACAAGTAAAGAGAAAATAGGTTAAATATTTTACATGCACAAATTTTACATATATATTTTATCACAATATCTAATTCTAAAACAAAAATCTGCATTATTCAAACGAAATAAAAAAAAATTAACTTTGCTCTTAAAGACTTTTAAACAACTAAAATATTCTTGATTTCTAAAGAAATTGTCTTTAAAATGGTTTTCACTTTTCTTATAATACATGTATTTCTAATTATATTAGTACAATTATTAGTATTAAATTTTGAGTTTTGTGTTTAGGTTATAAACTTTTTGCTTAAAATTAATGTTTTGATTAGTAACATACATATGAAATATTTGCAAAATTGTGTAAAATATTTTACTAAACATTTCAAAATTTTGTAAATTTAGAAAAATTTTAAGATTTGAGTTGCTCAAATCAATGTCGAAAAAAAAACGCAATTTAAATCCAAGAGATTAAAAGAAAAAGAAAAATTTAAGAAATTTCTTACAATTAAAACCGTCAATTATTTTGAAATGCTAATTTTTTTTTTATTTTCGTTTTTTTTTTAAAAAACATTTTTATTTTATTTTATCAGTTCCTATTTTGCATAACGCTTTTTCAGTCATAAATTTCAACTTATTGTTTAAATTCCATAGAATTTCCGAGTTTTTCTTGTTTATAGTAACTTATTGATACATACAAAATTTTGCGAAAAAATATGCACAAATTTGCAAAATTTAAATTAAGAATAAATTGACTATTTTATTCATTTAGCAGTTTATGTAGTTTCACTATTTTAAAAAATATATTAATATATACATATAATATACATACTGAGTTAAATACATTATACATAATAAATCGTCATTTCTCATTTATTTTTATTAAACATATTTAATTAACAAGAAAAAAAAATTATTAAATTTATTGAACTTTTTCTTAAAGTTCTAGTTAATTATATAGGTATATATACGAGTTTTTAATGTAAAAATCATAAATTTCTATTTGCTTATTTACGTACAATATAATTGTCTTGTTTAACAATTAATAATTTCAAATTAATACGAAATCACTTAAATGTCCTTTCGGCTGAACCATATGATTTGGCATTAATTCAACAATTTTATTGAATAAATATGTTCTTCGTGTTTTTATTTCAAAATTATAATCATCACGACTTCTTTTTCCGCCACATTTTCGATACAATTCGTAGGTGTCATCTCCCGCTCCAACACCTGATAATGATGTGTGTGATGTATGAGGAATGAATTCATGATATTGTTGCCGTTGTTGTAAATGTTGATTCTGTTGCTGATGCATATTATTTTCAATAGACTGAGTAGAAATTGTTTGATGAATTAATGGACTTGATACTGATGATGTAGATGGAGTACTTATATCTTCTGTTGATTGTATGGAGGAGTCATCTGTGGACATAGCAACATCTTCTGACTTACAATCTGTTGCATTTGTATTATTAGGTAATAAAGGTAATTGCTCCTCCTTAGTGTTATAAAAGGAAGAAGATTTAGATAATATCTCGTTTTCCACATAAAATGAAGAAATTCTTGTTGGTTTATTTTCAACAGGAATAGTCATTAATTGAGATTTTTCATCTAAAACATCATCCTCACCTTTGAACAACAATGATGCGAGTTTGTGGAACTGTTTTTAATGTAAATTTAATAGATAATTTCTGACCAGTATATAACAAAAGTAAAGAATAAAAACTTACGTTATTTAATTGAACCGGATCGTTATGATCTATAACTTCTGAAATGTGATTTTGCAAATATTGCAAAGCATAGATTGGATTTATTTTTGTGATTTCTTCATATTTTAATTTCCTAACTAAATACTGACAGTATCGTAATGTTTCCTGACGTGTAGGTCTATAAAAATATTTAATGGTATAAAAAATATTCAAATTGTTTGAATCCATTTAAAAATTTACTTTTCTAGCAATAAAACCCAAAAATCATCAAGTCGTAATTGAGGCAGTTGCGTTTTACCAGGGTTTCCACCAAACAAATAATGAACCTAAATTATACCCACAAAATTTATTAAATCAAAAATATAATATAAATTACGAGATATAAAAATATTTATTACCTTTTGAATTTCATCAAAAACTAGTTGATGAGCATATCTTGGACAGGGTTCTGCATGTTTGTCACCTTTGTCTATTTTATTATAGCACTGATCACTAGCATGTTTACATGTATAAATTCTTGACCATTTGTTAGTTCTCAAAGAATACACCCAAAAAGAGTTAGATGCGTCAATTTGTTGGGGATCCCGCTTTTCCTTCTGTTTACTTAAGCTCTATTAAAACTGTAAAGTAAGTAAATTTCCATTTTGTTTTATATTTTCACTTACGGAAAAAACATATATTTCATCCCTTTCACAATCTATAGTGGCTCTCTGAGTAAATCCAGCTGGTGGTTCGCTTTTATAAAGATTTCCACAATTGTTTGGGTTTAAAACATTGATCATTTGGGTATCAACATCATATGAAATAAAATCATCTATTTCTTCCTTACCCCGTTGTCCACCATATATATAAAGCTTACGATTTTTCTATTAAAATTTAAAAATTTTTTATCGTATTCTGTATATGACTTGAAAATTATATTAATTTTACATTATGAAACACCATACAGTGGGTTACACGGGATTTAATTGATAAAACATCGGTCAAGGAAGCACTCTGATGATGACAGTCAACTAAAATTTGTGTCCATGTATTTGTTGCAATATGATAGGAAAATAGTCCAGAGTATTCCGGTTCAGATGAAGCTTGATTGACACTTCTTAAAGAAATTAAATAGATATAATATTTTTTTACAGATTAATGTAAACTTTTATACTTTGGAGTTAAAATTTTTCCTCCGAAAACATAAATAGTTCTTTTCTCTATGTCAATACACATCTGATGATCATAAATTAGTTGCGGACCGCCAACTTGACTTGTATCATCACAAATTTGCAGCCATGTCCTTGATTTTGTATCGTACAGATAAAAGTCACTCTACGAAACATTTCATCAAATTGAAATAATTACATTGTTTATTACAATTATGATTTGAAAATACCTTAACATAGTCTATAGTCCTTATTGAATTGTCTAAATATCTTCCAATCATAAAAATATTCTCACTAATTGGATCGAACACCATTTTATGACAACTTCTGGCTTTTGGTCCATCAAATAACTCAGAATTCTCAAATATTAAAGTCCATGTACTCTTTTCAATATCAAAGCACCATAAGTCGCTCAAATCATGAAAGCCATCCCAACCCCCGTATAGATATATTAATCGCTTCTTAGGATCAATAACTAATTGATGACCACCTCTTGTTCCGGGACGTATGGTACTTAAAGTTTCCTGAATTTTCCATGAATGTTTATAATCTTGTTTAGCCATATAACTATCCATTAAACCATCATTAACACAATGTTCAATAAATTGTTCCGCCTTTTGGAAATCACCATTAATTACTAAACATTCATGCAATTCTGTTATAATTGGATGCTCAAGCCGAACGTTTGTTTGTTCTTGAAGCGCCTTGAAAGCATTGTCATAACCTTGTTGACGAAAATGTTTTAAGCAGAGTTTAACTATTTCAACTTCCCTTACCTAAAAGATTTTGATTAGATTAAATTAATTTTAAAATTAAAACTGAATTATTATAACGTACCATATTATAATCTCTTAAACTAGAACTCATAAAAATTGGATCATCTTGGCCATGAACTTCAACATACCAAATACTGAAATTAAAACTTGGACCCCATGATAGTAATGGCATAATTTTTAAAAATAAAACGGGAAAATTTTCTCCTTCGGTTGTATAACGTAGTGAAAAACTTTCTGGTGTTGAATCATTCTTTAATCCACTAAAATTGGAAAGTATAAATTTATTTTAAATATCACATCTTGCTAAGAAAGTCTCACTTGCATGAGAAACGCATTGTACTAAGAAAGAATTTTTATACAAAATAATACATATGTATTTTATTTACTAAACAATAAAAAACAAAAACAAATAAAAAAAATAAAAGAAAAATAAATAATTTTATTAAATGTAAACATTTAACTTATCTCATTTTGATTAATTAAAAACAGATCAATTTTTTTAATTGTATGTAAAAATATTTGCCAAAAAAACAAATTTATGCAAAGTTCTTTGTTCTTTAAATTTGTTTATATGAAATTATCTAAGTTTACATTATAAAAATATGTATTATAATGTATATACCTACATATATATTAAATAATATTTACAGTATGTATAAAAAAAGAAGAGATTCCAAAAATTAAACATTTACCTTTCAAGTAATAATAACATTTTGTCTTCATCTAAACCGCCAAATATACGAAATTTTTTCAAATTGCAAACATGAGATTTTTCAAATTTCCCAAACTTGATTTGTCTTACAATGGCCGGCCGCTTCAATTTTAAAGTCAGGAATTGCGGTGGATTATTTGTGTTTGATGACCATCTTGATGCTTGATTACTGGGACTATCTTCTAAAATATTTCTAAAATAAAAAATATATTTTAATTTAATAGCAATTATAAAATTTTCGGCATGATTATCTCCCTAAATAAAAATTTTTATAAAGACAAGTATTTCTAAATAAATTACAATTAGTATTAGGCCGGCCGGTACTTGCTAACGTAAGAATAGGGTAGGGGGCAATGTATATATTTTTTATATTATTTAAAATTTATGTATGTAGTTATATATGTACATATAGACTATTGAGTATATATGAGGATAATTACGCAGTAAAATTTTAATTATATTTTTCTAATGTTTCAAAAAAACAAATGGTTTTTTATTTTTCTAACACAGTGTCTAGAAACATCTTAAAATAGATTGAACGCAATCAAGGAATTTTTTTTGTATATTTCTTGTTTCCTGCACATCAAATTTTTTTTCTACTTTCCCTTTTAAAGAAAGAAAAACTTTCGCACCTTTTTAATGTTTGATTATTTTACAGTTAAAAATTATTTTTGGTAAAATACCGTAACATCTTGTTTTAAACCAAGCGGATTACATTAAGTATGTACCTACCTACTTATTTGAAATATTTTATCAAAGGGAAAATTTTTATCATAAGAAAATTTAAGTGCCATATTTGCTGATATGTATCTAAGTAGGTAGGTGCCTTACTATGATTTTTTTTTATAAGTCTTACAAAAATATTAATCTCATATATGTATATTAATTTAACCACTTTACTTACTCTGGTAAATATGATGTAGAATAAGAAGAATAATTATAAATTTCGTAATCTAATTTGTCCAAATTTTCCATCATAATTATTGTATTATTTCTTTTCTTTTTTGTACACAAAACCCGAAAATAAACTAAATTATAAAACCTAGTAACGAATGTCGCAAAGCGAAGATCTAACGAAAAAAACGAAGAAATACACAAAAACAAGCAAAAGTGAAATGAGATTAAAAAAGTGCAGTAGCAAATGTCAAAATTTTTGTATGCAAATCTGCACAAATCTAAACTATATGTTTATAAAAAAAAAGAATTTGACAGATCCTCAAAACTAATTAAGTGTTACCGTTTACTACTAGTATATTAACGTTAACCAGTTTGTTATGCTTTTTGATAATATTTATGCAGATTTAAGGAAAGTTTACACTGTCAAGATTATGTCAGATTTTCAAATGCTACATATGAAAATGCTATTATAAATTTATAAAAAAATTCTGATTCCATAACGATATTTTATTTAATTTTGAAATGCTTAGAAATTGATTATTTTTGACAATAAACACATTTCATAGACAAAATAATATTAAAACAAATGTCAATAAATTATACCAACAATAATAGGAATAAACTCAGACCCAAATACTCTCTTTATATTTAATAGGGATCAAATACATAACGAGCCTGTTTATGTAATTTTTATAAAGATCGAATTAAAGCAATGAATAGTTTTGGTAAAAAAATGATATTTGGTATTTCTTAGTATAAGCGCTGGTCATAGCAGTGTTTTAAATTGGAATTCATATAGGGTATTATATATTTATAAATAAGCCACGAAAGCTTACAACTTTAATGCACATAGGCTTTCTTTTTGAAAGCTTTTCTTTTACAACTTGTAAATATGTACATTCATTTAATGATGACAGTTAAAAAAAAAACAAATTATTAGGATGTTAAAGAGGGCTTAAGAGTACGTGTAAATCCTTCAGCTGTGAATTTCCGGTTTTTTTCGAAGCGCAGAACTGTATTTCTGTCAGCATGGTGCAACCCTAAATAACAAAAAATAATACAGCTGATTTTTTTAAAATACTGTCATAATTTTTTCTCTTTCGTGTACAGAGAATCAAAATAAAAATCAGAAATATTTTAAGACTATTTTTATTAGGATGCAGAGCAAAAATTGAATATTAATCTGCTTATTTGGAAGTAATTTATAATTTTGAATAGAAAATCGAATTGAAAAAGAAAAAAGGCATTTAAAATTAACAAAAGATGAGTTCAACTGAGGAACCAATTCATATTGGAAATTATACTAAAGTAAAAATATTAGGTAAAGGTAGTTTCGGGGAAGTAAGCCTTTGGAGGAATAAAGGAAAGTTTTTTGGTAAGAATTTTATCCTAAAAAGGAAAAAAAAATTTTTAGTAACTACATTTAGAAAATTAATTTGATGAACATTGTACTAAATTTTTAGTTTGCCTTTAGGTACTTTTGTACCTACCAGGGAAAAAACCAAATGAACCAGGAAATTAGAAAGAAAACAATCATAAGACGGTACTAGTTTATGTTCTTAAAATAGAATAAACCACGAGATTTAATTATAATATTTCTATTTTTAATATTAGATGTTATTTTTTATTATTTGTGCGATTTTTTATAATTTGCATATACATGAATATTATTGCACGTACCTATCTGCCTATTTCGCAATGCATATTATGTACATATGTATGCACAGTTGTGTAGTCGGTGTCTTTGAAATATTAGTATATAACTTTTTCATTATTAAGTATGTATGCCTATCTCTATCGATAAACGAATTGCATCCTGAGTTGAATAATAGAGAGTATCTAGGACCCAAATGTGCAATAGGGAAAAATATTATGACATTAGCATTTAATACATTATGTAATTTTAATTTTAAAATATTAACCATTTGTATTGAAGAATTGATAAATTTCTTTTAGCTCTTGAATGTCCTCGCTCTTAACATTGGAAAAAACTACATAATTAGATTCGTTATTCTATGTTTAAAAAAATTTTCTTTGCATTTTATAATACAAAATGAAGGGAATGTGAAATTTATTGTTTAATATGTGGTTTGACCATAAAATAATACTTCTTAATGTACATACATACATACATAAACTTTCCCTTTAAAAATAATTTTTAAAAAAATAGAATTATGATATCATTGCCATTTTATAACATCGGCCAAATTTTACATTATACATTTAAGTTATTTTAAGATTACAGCTCTTAAACGGGTAGGTACCTACTTGAATATATGTAATTTTATAATTAATATAATATTTATATTTTGATTTTATTTCAATATATATGCAAAAATAATTTTGTGTTTGAATTGTAAGATTAGTTAAACTATGTATATTGCGTTGATATTTCAGCTATTAAAAAATGCACGGTCAATTTAAAAACTTTAGCGGCAGATCAAGCAAACAAATTGAAGGAAAGATGGTTGAGTGAGCTTGATATGATGAAAAATATTGTACAGTGCGACCATATTGTAAAAACAGTTAATGTAAGTCAAACATTTATGGATGAAATTGCAGAATATAATATATCTGGACTTCCGTTACTTACAATGGAATACTGTGAAAATGGAGATTTAAGGCTAATGCTATGTAAAATTGAAAACTCTAATGGTCTCAAAGAAAGTGAATGTAGAAACGTATTAAAATGCTTAAGAAATGCTGTTAAAGCTCTTCACGAAATTAACATTACTCATCGTGATATTAAACCTGAAAATATTGTTATACAAAATAAAAATGGTAGAAATATTTATAAGGTAATTTAAAGTCCTATACATTTAACGTTTTCAGTTGAAATTATAAAATGCTTTCTGTTTTTTTAGCTAACGGACTTAGGATATGCTAAACAAATATTTCGAACTGCAGAGAACAGTTGTGTGGGTACACCAGGCTATTATGCTCCTGAAATAATTACTTCTCCAGAATATTCAAAACGTGTTGATTACTGGTCAATGGGTGTTATTGGTTTCGAAGTTATATGCGGTGTCAGACCTTTTATCCCGCACGAAACATTAGTTAAATGGATGCTGGCTATAAAAGGAAAATCTTCAAAAGTTATAGCTATAACTGAAAATAATAAAAAAGAAAGAAAGAACCATGAAAAAATTTTTAATGAAAGTCAAGTTTCAGACATGTTTAAATTTTTAGCTGAAAATTGGTTGACTTTAGCTTTAGAATATGATGGAAAGCAACGTGGGTCACAATTTGTTGAAAGTAACCTAAAATCAAATACAAATTTAGCAGAACCACCTAAACTTGTATTTAAATTTTATTCAGAACTTGATAAAATTATCAATGCGAAAATTTTGAAAATATTTTGTTTAACAAGTTACAAATTCTTAAGCTATATAATTTACGATAATACTACAATGGAGGAATTGAAACATAAAATCGAAAAAATTACTTCGATACCCAGTTCCGAAATGTATTTTATTATACCAATTGAAAGTAACGTTGACCAAATAAAAGCCGATACGAAACCTATTGATTTTTTTATTAAAAATAGTGACGAAGTAATGTTATATGTTACCCAAATTAATAAAATATGTGAAAAACCATCCGATCCGCTAATATCGCACGTTATTCAAGACGTTCTCAAGATGAAGAAAGATGAAAAAATCGAACCATTTTATTTTAAAGAATTTATTAGACATGTTGTTTGTACGCTTAGGAAGGAGCAATTACATTATGTTACATTATTAAATGGATTGAAAAATTATGCTCTAAATTTAAATGACTCAATAGAGAAAAATCAATCAAACAAAGATGAGATGAAAAATAAAACATTGATTGCAATGACAAAAGTTAATTCTCATGTTGCATCAGTTAGTCATACAAGAAATAAAATTGAAGAAAATTGTGTATGTTATTTTTAAAAAATTGTTGTTTTTATTATTTGATGTCACAAAATTTTTTTAGCTTATGGATGTCGGAGAACAATATTTATCAAAATGGGAACAAAATTGTAACAAGCTACAGGAAGAGACTCAAAGGTTCGTAGAAGCATATCTGAAAGTGGTACAACGTTTTGATTCAATATTACGAAGAAGTAGAAAAGTGTTAGATTCAAAAATTCTTTCAAATATTAATAATGATCAATTTGAGGTGTAAGTAAAAAAAATTTACTTTGTATGTATATTTAAAATTTACCTAATTATTTAAAATTTACAATTTTCTTAGAGAGAAATATGAGAAAAAATATCAACTAATTAGACATTTAAAAGAATTTGATCGTCTGAAGGATGAAAGTGAATCATTTCAGAATATTGTTTACGACACGATAAGAAGACGAAAAAATCTTCTACAAAGTGTGGATTTTAAAGACTTGCAAACAACTTTAAATGAAATTCATGTTGAATATGTGGTATGTTACAAAATCATTTTAGATTCTCAAGCATACTTAAGACAGCACGATAATGAAATACAAAAAGTAATTAATGAATATCATGATGAGTTGTGGGAATTTCATGACTCAATGAAAAAAAATGATTCTTTAAATGATAGTCGGCCAAATTTGGATTCACTTTTAACTTTTGAAAATTCAAATGAACATTTGGTTTTTGATAATTTGACATCAAATATAACAAAAGATGATGGTAGTACGATTTCTTGTTTTGGTGAAACAAATGACACCAAGAGTTTAATAGAAGAAAATGATCAAATAAGTGGAGCGTATGTTATATATTTTTTATTAAAAAAATTTTTTAACATTAATAAAATTAAAATATTATAATTGTAGATTTGAAGATCTCTTGAACGATTTAGATCAACTTTTAAAACAAATCAGTTAATACAGTATATTGTTCACATACGTTTGTTAAAGAAGAAACATTGTTTTAAAAAACAAAGAAAAATTTGAAACGCCAATTGTTTGTTTGTTAAGTTTTGTAATAAAGGTGTGCAATATGTTGTAGAATTATACTAAATGTTATGTAAAATCTTTTATACTATGCTTTATCTAATAAATAGAATTAATAAACATAATAACCGTTTTCTTTTTTAATTTTATTTACAAAAAGTTAAAAGGCTTAGTATTGAATTGTAGTATTTTGCAAAAACAAATGGCTTTTTAAAGATTATAAAAGCCATTTGTTTGAACAAAAAACAATTAATAAACTTATGAATTATAAGTTTATTAATTGGTTAAAAACTTAATCTTCTATTTTTTAGATAAAAACTTATCTTTAATCTTTTTGGATAAAAACTTGTATGAAAAATTTACAAAGGACGAACACAGAAAAAATATTTTGAATTTTTCGTATTGATGTATTATTAATAATTATGTTATGAAGAATGTTAATATACAATATAATCATAAACATAAAATAAAAATGAATATTTGAAAAAAAAATAAAATGCATTGTGAAAACGTACCACGCAATAAAAAAAATACATTCCAATATTTTTATTTAATTATTTTTATTGCCAAACTGTTAGAATGCAATTTCAATACAATTATGAGAGTTTTAACTTTTAAAAATAATTCTTACACATTTTTTCTTGTCAAACCTAATTAATAATGAAAATAAAGTTAAAAGTATATTTATTTTTTTTTTGATTATTTTCTTTAAGAAACATTTTTTTTTATAGATGAAAGCACCATAATTTCATTTAAAAACATTTAAATTTGTTTAAAATAAATTAAAAAATTCAAAAAACTAATTATTTTTTATAAGTCTAAAATTAAATCGCTTAAAATTTGAATCAAAGTTCTTTTTATTATTTAAAAAAATGTAATACTGTAATGTTAAATATTTTTTTTTCAATATAAACATTTTGAAATATAAAAAAAATATATGTAAGTCCTTCATATTAGGATTTTTTAAGATATTGATTATGAACAAATTAAAACACCTACTCACATAAGTGGTAATCTAATATAATAAATAATGTCACTAAATTAATTTTTAAATAAAAAATTTTAATTATTCATAGAATTATATAATTTAATAGTGTTGAATAACGTTCTTAATTCTTAAATTAATTTACAGAAAAAAAAATAAACAAAATAAAAACCTATTCAATATTAAAATTAAAACCAACAATAATTGAAAGATTTTATTATTCTTTGAGAGCTAATTATCATTAAATTCAAATAAATCCGTATTGCATACGTATTTATATAAATAAACCGAATAAAAATAAATATAACAAACGATATGAAAATGAATACTTCTTGTAAATAAATAAATATATTTGTTTTATGTTATTGGGGAACTTTGAATCAATTTTTTTCCACTCGACTTTTTTAAATATTACTTTTTAAAATTGAATGAATTGACATGAAATTATTTATTTAATTAACTTTTTTAAAGAAACTGGTTTCCACTTTATTTTATTAAATCTTTAAATTACGAATATTACATAAAAATTAAAAATAAAATATTATTGATTTCATTGTTTTAAGAAACAATATTGAATTTTTTCTGTTTCAAAAATGGTTTTAAAGCAAATACATTGTTACAATCAAAAGTTAATTTTGTTAACCTTGTGTATTTAAAATTTTAATTTTTATATAGATTAATTCTGTTTAATAAAAATGTATGTAAATATTCTTTGAATTTAAGATTACTAATACAAGAAAAAACCAAAAACTGGATGTTTTATCACAAAAATAGTTTACAATTAATTTTTATTAACATCATTTCTTTTAAATTCTATTCAAACTTAATATGTAGATACATATATTACTCAAAGGAAATAAAGAAATCAAACATTTTACTTTTGATTCAACCCGTAAAAACTTCAATTGAATAAAATTTAACTGAAAATATAAACAAATTAAATAATGTTAAATAATATTTAAGACTGAAGATGACAAATGCTATATTGCAGTTGTAATTATTGCGTTAATCTAGTCATAAACTTACATATTATCAAATTAATGAAGTGTTTTTAAAGTACATATATGACTTTAGTTATATGTAATATTTAAAAAAAAAGTACGACTTAATTCGTTTGATCGATTTTTTATTTTATGCCTTTATTCCTATTTATAATAAAATTGCTTTTCAAATTAAAAGCGCTTAGTAACTGAATACATTATTTTTATTCAGAGTATAATAAACGATTGATCGCATTTTCAACATTTTCCAAGTATTTTAACTAATATTACTTAAATTCTATTCGAATTCATAACAAAAAAAAGATTCTTATATTTATTCAATAAATTTTTCTTTTTAATTGTATGTATGTATTTGTTTTTGATGTTATTTGAAAATTGCCTCTATATATTATTATTATATATGTATATATATACTTCAATAAATACAATATAATACATATTTAGCTAAATTTTGTGCAAAATATTCAATATTTTTGATTTAAACAAAAAAAATATATAATTATATGCATATATATATATATATATATATATATATATAAGATATTAATTCAATACTTTAAACATAAAAACAATTTTCATGCTTTAAGTATAAATAACTTACATCTTAAACTGTAATACTTAACATTTATTAATCAGAACTTTAAGCTTACTTATATTTTATTACTTAGCGTAACAATAATAATAAAAATAAATATGATATTAAAAATAATAGTATTGATAATAATAATAATATTAATAATAATAATAATATTAATAATAATAATAATATTAATAATATTAATAATAATAATAATAATAATAATATTAACAATAGCAATAATAAAAATAATAATATTAATAAACCCTTAACAATAAACTCTTAGTTTTAAAATTTTTTATTTGATTACAAACTATTTATAAAAAATGAGTTGAATCTCCTAAAAATATGTGTATGTAATTAAATAAAACTTTCAAAATATGTAAACATAAATAGTATTTCAAATAAAATCTAATCTGGCGGCAAATATGAAAATAAACGAAATTTTTCCCTGATATGCGGTCGAACATCTTCTCGCTATAAAACAACAATAAAATATAATTAAAAAATTATAAAATTTAAATAAAAGTATTAAAATATTAATTACCATTAATGCTAGTTGTTCTAAAAAAGGTAATAATTTCATAAGCTCAGAATCATTTTGATCCATGAACCAACTTTCAATTGGAATTCCATTCTCCAATTGGTAACTAAAATCAATATAAAATTAAATCGAACTTTTAATTAATAAAAACAAAAGTAAATATATTTACCCAAAAGCTTGAGGTGAGTTATCAATTATAATTGTTTTAGATAAATCACGTCCGAGTATTGTTAAATCCTTAATATAATTTCCATTTACAAGTACACAATGTTCTCGAAAAAGTCGATATCTATTAAAATAAAAATTGTTTTTTTATTCAACATCGAGATTTACAATATTCGAATACTTACTTAATCCACTTCCTTTCAGGATCTAATAAATTTAACAATTTATCAGCATAAACTCTTTTAGATGCGGTGAACAAAATAACTTCAAATAATTTAGACACCTTTTCAAGAAATTCTTTAAAATACGGACGTGTTCTTACGAATACTGTATATTTACAATCCTAAAATGTAATTTTTTTTATAAAATATACAAAAATAATCTTTTTAATTTAAATGAAGCTACAAAGTAAAAATAATATTATACCTGAAATAAGACTGGAAATTTGAAACTTGCATCTGACAATTCTTGTAAACTGCAATGTACTAAAGTTTCATCTAAATCTAGTACCAAACTAAATTCTGGACTTGACCTTGTTTTCAGTGGTAAAGCTGGACATTTAGCTCTCATTTCGGTCGTCAAAGGCGGTAAATGTTTTATAAAGAGATAAGGATCAAATGAATCCCACTGCATATCCTCTTGCCTTGTATCAGGTATTTCTTCTATTTCAGGACATTCATCTGCTTCAATTTGTGAATCATCATCATTTCTGTACAACATAATACCCCCGCAACCATTGGGTGCATTCATGTTGCAGTGCATTGTATTATTAATTACGTTAACGTCTTGTAAATTGCAGCGATTCATTGAATGTGAAGCAATTTGTTGTCCATAGGGTGACACACTATGTATGAAACTATCGACTACTTCATCTTCTGAATCTTTTGGTATATTTAAAGTGGAAAACAAATTTGTGGGATTATTTGGTAGGTTTGTTAGTGCTTTTAAATTATCAATTGCTGTTTGATGCATATAGGCCGCAGCAGCAGCTGCTGCATTGACACCTAGTGATGAATCTTGTAAATCGATTGCATTTGTTGAATTGTCATCGCGATTATTTAAACCTGAGTTTATATGTGGACTACGATTTTCATTACAACTCAGAAAAGATTGAGTGAGCATAGAGTTATATGATAGAAATTCTGAATAGTGACAAAAATCGTTTGTTGTACATTGCGTTGATGGCACTACAAAATGAACAATTTTTTTTACAAATTTTTAAACATAAAACTTTAATATAGATTTTACCATTGTAACTACTGTAACTGGGAAGAGACGATTGTGATGTCATCAAAGAGGTAACACTGGAAGGACAGGGATTTTTTGCAATATCATCTTCAAACATTGCTATTAAATCTGGTGTAAGAGGTGCAGACGTGGGCAAATTTGAAGAAAGATTATTTGCATTGCTACAACTATTTGAAATCATTCCATTGTTAATTGCATTGTTTCCAATAAAATCAGAATATCCGCTTGAAAAGTTACAGTTTGCAAAAGTTGCGAAAATTTGTGAAAAATTCTCACTCATTGACAAAGAATTGCTTTGGTCATCCGTTGTTCCACTTTCATTAACATTATTTGCACAACAACTTGTGCTACTATTGCTCGTAGAGCTTTGTAATAATTCGGTTGTTGTTGAATCAACTTCAGGTACAACAATATCCAAAGGTTTTGAGTAATTAGATGTACTTGGTAAACAACCCATGGAGTAGCCCATGCTCATCATGCTATTTGTTCTTTGATCGTAATCTGTAGTAGTACTGTCACACTCACTACTAATACATTTCATTAGATCTTGTCGACTTTCGGGTATATTATCATTACCTCCGCATACCGAGTATTGAAAATTTGAAGCGGAACAACTACTTTGTGAATCTTCCTGATTAAGAATATTATATCGAAAAGATGAATCTGATGTTGATACAAAATCTGTCGATGTTGTACTTATTGCTGTTGAAAACACCGAAAAATTGTTTAACTTTGAGGCGGAATCTTTTTCCACATCGTTTTTATTGGAAACCATAAAAGATGGGATCGATGTAAAAGAGTTGGATAATGAATTTTCGTTTGATGAATTCACGCACGAATTATCACCATCTTTTGTTAAATTCGTGCCAACATTCAATGTAGTTGTTGGTAAAGTTGTGCATCGTTCTTCTAGCAATTCTTGATTTGAGCGTTGTGGTTTATTACTTGTACATTCTTCCGTTTTATAATTACTGCTTTTCTTTTCAATTGCACGAGTATCCTTCCAAATATTCTCCTTTTCTGTTAGTTTTCGATATTTACGCTTTTTAAGCGAAGATACTGAAGTGGTTGTAATTGTCGAAGATGTAGCTGTTCCAGAAGAATTCAAAGAACGTTTTGAACGTTCTTTTAAACGCTTCGATGTTGGTATTGTATTGCACTTAGTCAATTTTTGAACATTTAATCGTTTCGAATATCTAGACGTTACCGTACTATTAGGTGATCTTAAAGAATATGTAGTTGACGAAGTTGTTTTGTTATGATTGCCGTTATTATTGATATTGCTATTAGAATTATTTTTTCCGGGAGGCAGTTTTATTGTATTTGATTTGGTACGATTTGCAGAGGTCGTAGTAAAATTTACCAAAGAGCTTGCAACTATTGCTGAACGAATACTTGTAGATCGTCGTAAACGACGTTCGCGCTTTTCGCTGCGCAGCAGCATACTTCCAAAAATTTTTTTCTTTTTTTTCACTATAAAAAATCTAAAAAGAAATAAAATATAAGATATTTTCATTAAATAATTGATTTTATTTAAAAACAAAATATTTAATATTTTATTTAATCAATTATATAAATATTGTTATTTGCACTTAAAATATAAATCTGATAACTATTTCCAGTGTTCGGATTTTTTTTATCTTTCATATAATTACTGATATAATTTCTAAGTTAAGAATTCTTTTACGTACGGTATAATATAATATAATTTTAATATATATTTTATCCGTATTGTTTTAATATATATTGTAACCATTTTTATAACCCGCTTTACAACGTAAATAAGAACACTAATTTTTCATCAAATGATGAATTTTGAACAATTTAAAATTTAAAAATTTCACGTCAAAAATTTTTATCAAATTAAGGGTCAAATTTAATAAAATAATATGAAAAAACTTATTTTATTAAGAAAGAATATCTAAGCTCAAAAATTACATGTTCATATAGTCGTAGTAAGTAATAATAAATTATACCTTTATTATGTTTTTTGTAGATAATTCCAATAATAATGTTTCAATAACAATATTCAATTGCTAATGAACAAATTTTTCAAAATTATGAAAACTATAAGTATTGTACAATATAAATTATAAGTAAATCAAAATTTTTAAAAATGTATTTCAATTAATTAAACATAAATTAATTAAAAAGGAAAGAAATTTCATCAAAACTTATATATGGGTAGGTAGTTAGTATGCACATTTTTTCTTTAATTAGGTATACTAATAAATATATAGGTAGGTACATTATATTATGTATAAGTTAAATACATAAAATCTACTTGCTTAAAATAATGTAAGAAAAATTCACATTCTTGTATTCAATAAAATTAAATATGGTATACGAAATAGGTGTTACATATTGTCTTTAAGTAACTATTATTAATTTATCCAAATTTTATACAATGTATGTATGCATATGTACATATATGTGTATACTCATCGAACAAAATTTTTTTCTTTTAAAACATTAATTATTATTGTCATTTCATAATATGTACATTTATGTGTATATACTTATATGTAGAAATAGTATAACTACCCGGCGCAGAATAAATGTTTGCAAAAAAAAAAAATAAAGGTAGGCATACCTACATAATTAAATACAAATGTCCATATATGTATGTATATATGTATAACATATTATGTACTCATTATCTTATAATGTTATAAGAGATACTCGTATGTATGTAAAAAAGAATATCTACAAATTTTAGTTTATTATACTTAGCTGCATAGTAGATACATACATGATTTTTATATTAAGTAAACTATTATAGTAATATTTTTAAATATATGCATAAATGTATGATAGGACAAATTTTTAATAATAAAATAAAATAATTTTCTTCAGAGATAACTACTCCTTTTTTCCTAATTCTATTAATATTCTTTTATACATTTTTCAATTACTCTTATGTTGATACAAAATATACCATACTAGGTATGTTTTTGATTTTTACATACATATGTATGTAAGTTTACAATTGCACACACTTATTATATATGTATGTAAATTGAATATCATGTTGTACATTAGGGTTACATAACCAAAATTTTCATATTTTCTTTCCTCATTTGCAATCTATAGGTCCTAAAATACGTTTGTTGTATATTTGTTAAAAATATGTAAATATCGGGTGTAATGAAGTACTTAATTAAGATTTTGGGTCTTCATAAAATATTCTATCATAATTCATGCTTTTTTGAAACATTTTTTCAATAAAACAAAATTTAATGGGTCAAGTATTACCATAGTGCTATAAATATTTATCCCGATACTACTAAACACATACACATAATTATGTTTAAATTTCTAATATACAATATAATATGTACATATTATACATTCTGTTCTGAAAAGTTTTATTTCTCCATCACTCAAGAAGAAAAGGTACATGTAAGATTTGTTTTTGGTACTTTTATATATGTATATTTACTTACGAAAATACGTACATAATGTTATGTACATCCCCTTCTAAAGTCAAAATAAAACAATAATAATAATATAAAAATATTATAACCGCGCGTATGATGTAATTATTGAAAATAGACGTGGAAATCATTACCGGAGCCCGCCAATAGGAAAATTTCAATTGATAAAATGAATTGTGATTGTTTCTTTTAAAATTTTCTTGAATGTGAAAAATAGTCGCTTTAATTGAAAGTAATAAAGTGTACTTAATTTATTACTTTTTAAATGTATAACTTTAGATTGATTTGTGTTATATAAATATAAAATTAGTAATAGATTAATTTAATTTTTCAGTAACCAATATTATAAAAATAAGACATCTTTATTTTTGTAATTTGGCTATAATTGCCAGTTCTCTATTTATTGACAGAGATAACTGCTATACATACATAGATAGGTATATTTATAAAATTAAAGATTTTTTAGTTATACGAGTAGTAAGAGTAAAATAAACATTAGAAATGCAAATCAAAACAAAAACATAAACTCAAATTAAAATTCCCACATATATCTAAACCTTCTCTTATGTGCATTAGCACAATATGAACGATAAGCATAATGGTCATACGAGTACATAATAACATAATAATACTGAAGTACTTAACACACATAATATGTATACATATATATGTATGTAATTGTTTTTTAAATTTTATTATTTCGCAAGTTTCTTATTTTTATAATAAGTAATGAATTTTTAAGAACTAAAATCGCGGGAATTCAGTATTTATGTAAAATAAAATGAAATAAACAATAAAAAGAATTTTTTATTTAATGTTTTTATAGTTCTGTTGTAAATCTCTGTTTGTAGAAACAAAATAATATGAAATAGAAAAATAAAATTTTCATTTTGAGCATTTATTCTGATTTTCTTTTATTTTAATGAAGAAAAACAACGAAAAATTGTGAATGTATTTATTATTTGTTTTTATTTACGTAGGCGTACATTGCCATTATTCAGAATAGTAAAACATAAAATATTGGTACCTACATATGATTCATAAGAGTTCGTTTGCGTTGGCAATTCAAAAAATGATTAGATGTTACTGTATAATCAATTATGTATGTTAGTATGTATTCACATGACAAAGTTGTAATCAACGTTTATAATAGCAGTGAAATGGTAATCAGAATGGGCACGTCGGGACATACATTAAAACTAGCAATGCAGACATAAATGTGTTCAACCGAGATGAAGGCGTTAGGGCTTCAGAAAATTGAATAAGTTCCTTAATTTCTGAATCGCCAATTTATTTGAAGAGTCAAGACAACACACGACAATTTTAGAAAATATATTTTAAAAATTTTTTAAATTACAAAATTATTAATAATTATAATTATAAATTATAAATAATTTATTAAACAATGGTTCCATAGACCTGATCAACCTAACAAATACATGAGTTTTATCTATATTAAAATGATTAAAATTGAAGCAACAAACAATTACATATACACAAGTAGGTACTATATAGGTACTTATATTTTGCTATTCATCATTGCATTCATATTATATACCGCGAATATTGTACCTAGTTTGTTTTTTTTCTATCCTACATAGATGTTTTCTTTTACATATTCACATATCTAGATATTTTTTGATTTGATTTACATACATAAATACACACGTATTATGTGTGTATATTACACATATTATTTAATTCAAAATAATATTTATATTTTACCTGTATGTATGAACAAATATATTATTATGTATAGCTAAACTTGGGACACTGAAAGAAAATAGATTAAATAAGAGGCTGAAACCGACGGACAATTCATAAAATACACGTCCACGAACATTAATATGAACAAAAACTGTCAAGAAACTTTTAATAACAAGAAAATTATAAAAGTTGTTTGAAATATATGAGTATGTACATATTATGTATGTACATACATATATTCAAAATATTCGAAAAATTTAAAAATTATGGAAAAAATAGCCTTTTTTCTGTTATCGCGCAATAATGAATGAGATCACATCTAATAAAAGAAAAACAGCAACATAATTAGCTAACATGTAGAACCAAATGAACAAAAAGCCTCATCATCAGCCCCAGAGTTACAGCTTCATCATCCGTCTTACTTTTTTAGTCGCCTCTTTTATTTACTTTCAGATCAGAATTGTTTTTAATATTGAATGTTATAAAATTGAATCAATAGTGACTAAATTTCGTATATCTTGGGAAAAACAAGAAACGCAATATGAAAAAATTCTTCTTATTCACAGTTACGTTCTCAAATACATGATACTCACTCAATGTGTTCTCACGCTTTGAGTAAAAATACTACAAATGCGAGATAAATGATCTTCTTCATGATAATTTTTATAAGTACACGGCACCTACATACTTATTTGTATTTCAATTGTAAGAAATGATATTTTATATTGGTTAATTTTTTAGCAACTAATAAAAAATTTTAATTTTATTAACATATGTACAGCAAAAAGGAAATTTCTAGAAAAAAAGTAGATTCATTTCAGCTCCTGATCAATTCATTCTTCCTGTATGAAAATATTTAGGAATTTGGGAAAATAATAGTAGGTACCTTTTTTCGAAAAGTATCACTATAAGACATAACCTGGTTCTCAACCTCAACCGTTTCAAAGAGAAACTTCTATTTTTTAACCTTTTCCAATAGTTCATATTTTTTAAAATATCGATAGCTTCAATGATATAAAAAAAATCTTTCCCATTCTTTTGGGAATGATTATCGTTTAAATAGCTGGAACGACATTTTCCATCCCGATACGACGTCACAAAGTATGAATCGATTTAGTGGTCCAATATTTATATTGCACTAAGCTAAGTACAACTACTTTATTATAGATTTTGAAAAAATTAATACATAGTTTCATAGTTAGTTTTACATTATTTTCTATTTATTTTTTTGAGTTCCAGCCTCTTATTATTTAAACGTCGCGGGCTGTATTTTAATACGTATTTTGTTTTATGGTAATACATACTTGACAGGAATAAATTGACATTATTAATGTAATTGTGAATGTACGTACATTCATAAAGCTTTGTGTGTGCATATGAAAATATTTGTATACATGATTTGTTGAAAATATATGCATGGGAATATTTTATATTTATGCATGTATGCAAATAATTTTTTTTTTACAAATATAATTTTGTGTATACTATTTTTTATTTTATTTTTTCAAATTTATTTATAAAAACTTTCTGTATGGCTATGGAGCTTGCATGTTTAACAAAATTTTTTATATCTTCATTTATAAAGTATCTATGAATATGTGTATGTAAATTACTGTAGATTAAATGTACGAAAATTGAAAAAAAATTGTTAATAGCGAAACTATATAAGAATTTATACATGTTATATTATAATATATTATATTATTATATGTAACATGTATTTATATGTACACATATTGTGTATCTATATAATAATACAATAAAATGAAAAGAGTAGAGATAGAAGATGTAGGTACAAAACATAAATGATTTTTTATGCTCCCGATTTTTTTTTCATTTATTTGCAAACAAATAGAAAAAAAAAATTCGTTTGACAAGTTTCCCGCCTCATTTCAAAACAAACCAAATCAAAACATTAAATTTCGAAATTTACTATTTTTAAAAAACATAAACAATCGAATAAAAAGCAAACTTTTCAATTGAATTTTTAATTGAAGTCCACTTTTTTTCAAGAAGAAAATCGATTCAATTTTTACAATTTTTTTTTTCTTTTCATTTTCACTTAGTCGGAAGAAAGCACCAGAAAAAAAAATTCAGAAAAGGAAAAGTAAATTTTAATTTAATCCTTTTTAAAACAATTATTAAAAATTTTATATAAAAAATTAATATTAAATTAAACTCACTTTTCTTATAAGAAATAATTTATTTTTAATAATTTATTTTAATTTTTCATTGCATTTTCTCTATATTTCTCCACTAAACATTGATGAAAATTTCAACAAAACTGAAGATACATTTAAAAACACATACAAAAGTAGGTGGAAAAATGTGTGTAAAATTTTTGTGAACAATTTTTCAACACAAGAAAAAATTATAACAAATATTTTCATCTCTTTTTAATATTAGAAAATTGAATTGTAAGTATTTCATTCACAATATTTTCTCTTTTTTTTGCCTAAGAAATTCCATCTTTTTTTTTCCAGTAAAAAATTATATTAAAAATAAAAAATATATCTTCCCGTTCTAACCTTAAAGAATACTTCATTTAAAATGTACAAATTACAGGGTAATTTAAAAGTTTTTAAGTTTTATTTGGAAAGTATACCTATATATTATTTACAAATATAGCTTCACAATGTTATAAGTTTATTATTTTTAACCATCCAGGAATGAGCTTGATTAAAAAAGAAAAATTATTTCAATATTTTATTATTTAACATAAAATCAATGGTCTTAGTAGTTTGTCATTAGAAAATAATATGCGTTTATTTTATGTAGAGAATTTTATGTTTTTTCTACCTAAACATTTTTTCACAACTTTTATGATCTTGCTCTTAAAATAACTGCAATGATTTGTTGTAAATAATTTTGTGTGAAAATTATAATATTATACATATTACATTTTATTATCACGTGAAATGGAATACTTTAAATTTAAATTCAAAAATACAATTTTTGACAATTTGCAGGTTTGTTTTCCCATCGATTTTCGGTCACAATGATTAAAGACAAAAATTAGGCTGAATTAAATAGTAACTTAGTAAGAAATAAATTTTAACATAATATTAAAATACTTTGACGTCGTCAAAAAATACTCGATTTTTTTTTATCAAATTATTTTAAAATTAGTCTGAATGGTTTACTTTCTGTTAAAATAAACTGATTTTTTGAATTATTTTATGATTTGTCTAGTGAAGAGACCTAGAATCATTTTAAAGATATCTCCATATGAATTTAAATTGAAGTAATATCAGGTCAATAATGTACTGCAGTATAAACATTTCCAGAAAATGTTGATGCGTTGCAATTCAGTTATTAAATTTTCGAAATTTACAACATTTAGTTTAAAGTCGATATTTTAAAATATCTAGATAGCATTGATTGAAGTTGAGAAAATCTAATCAAATACTGTACAATTGGATTGCATTTAAAAAAATGAGAATTCTAAAAATAATACTGCTTCTATAACTTTTCGAAGTAGTTATAGAAGCAACTTAAAAGGTGCGATAAAGAATAATAAGACTATTATTTTTTATAAAAGGCTTTTATAAAAGGCTTGTAAAATAATTTTGTTCTTAGATTTTATTTTGACTTACTACATTTCAGTTTCATATATAGAGCATGTTTCAATAATAAACATATAGTCATGATGTATGCACATATGTCTGCACGTATGTAATTCACATTGGGTAAAATTAAAGTGTAAATAAAAAATGGCAAAGGGTTTAGTATTTTCTTGCAGATATTTTTATAAATTACTTAATAATGACACTTCATTTCTTTTCAAAACGACATTTAATAAAAATAAGTTTAATCAATTTAATTTATACCAACAATATTCTCAGCAAAATGTCAAGATTAATATAAATGTTGGGACAATTGGGCATGTTGATCACGGTAACAAAAACAAATATTTTTAAAATTGGTAATGGATTTACGCATATTATGTAGGAAAAACTACTTTGACAGCAGCTATTACAAAAGTTTTATCAAAAGAAGGCTTAAGTAATTATGTTCCCTACGACGAAATTGATAAAGCGCCTGAAGAAAAATCAAGAGGAATAACAATAAATGCTTGTCATGTAGGGTACAGTACGAAAAACCGTTCTTATGCTCATACAGATTGTCCGGGTCATGCTGATTATATTAAAAATATGATTTCTGGTGCTTCGCAAATGGATGGTGGTAAATATACACTAAAAACAAATTTATCCCTTATCGCTTAGAAAAAAATTATAATCGTATTCCAGCTATTTTGGTTGTTGCTGCTACTGATGGGCAAATGCCTCAAACTCGCGAACATTTACTTTTAGCAAAACAAGTTGGTATTGAAAAAATAATTGTGTTCATTAATAAAGCTGATCTAGTAGACCAAGATGTTTTAGATTTAGTTGAAATAGAAATGAGAGAGTTGTTGTCAGATTTTGGTTTTGATGGTATAAATACTCCAGTTGTTTGTGGTTCAGCATTGTTAGCTTTACAGGATGATAATTCAAAGCTTGGTATAGATTCAATTAAACATCTGTTAAATACAATCGATGAATATATTCCCACACCAAAACGAGATTTGGAATCACCTTTTTCATTACCTATAGATAATGCTTTCACTGTCCCTGGAAGAGGTTAGTATTATTTACATAACATAAATAATATGTATGTAGATATTTATAATGTCATCATTAATATCAATTTATCATCATTTCATCCATTATTTATGATGATATTATAATATCATCATTTATATCAAATTTGATCATTAGTAAAAATGAATCACAACCATTAATATTATGTAATTGCTTCTAAATATGTGTATGTACATAACAAATAAATTTTGCAAAAATACTTCTAGGTACTGTGGTAGTAGGAACAATAAAAAAGGGAACTTTGCTAAAAAATGCTGAAGCAGAATTATTAGGTTTTAATGAACAGATCAAAACCACTATATCTGATCTTCAAGTTTTTAAAAAAAGTGTTCCCAAAGCTCTTGCTGGTGAAAATGTAGGGGCTCTTTTAAGAAACATTAAAATATCTGCTGTTCAAAGAGGTATGATATTATGTGCTGCTGGATCAGAAAAGATATCAAATCATTTCCATGGTTCTATGTATTTATTAACAAGAGGTGAAGGTGGCCGATCAAAACCATTAACATCTAAATATATTCAACAAATGTTTAGTCGTACTTGGAATATCCCAGCACGCATAGATTTAATGAATGAAAACTCGATGCTAATGCCCGGTGATCATGGAAATGTCAAAATAACTCTACATAAAAAAATGGTAATGACGGCAGGGCAGCCTTTTACTATTAGAGAAAATGAGAAAACTGTTGCAACTGGAATTATAACAGAAAGAAAAGAATCTGTAAATTTACCGATGAATAAGTTATCGAAGCTTCAGTTAGTTAATTGAATTTCGTATCCAAAAATATAGATTAATTTTTTATTTACATCATACATAGGTACTTTTTATTAAGCAATCATTATAGAAATCATATTTTAAAAGAAATTTGCTTAAAGTAAATATAATAAGTTATTGTAAAAATAGCATCTTTTTCCTAATTTAAAGTTTTAATATCTATACCAAGTTCAGTTAAACGCTGTTCAATCGCTTTTACGTCTAACCCGTTATCCTTATTATATCTGTAACTAATAATAAGTTGCGCTTCTTCAAGGCCACTTATATGGTCAAATAAACTCCCTTCTAGTTTCTTATCTATATCATTTTCTTCTCGCAAAATGCAAAAATATATTAGAAAAACTGCGACACTTGCAATAACAACATACGGTTGGTACCATAACATTTCATCAACATGTCCGCTTCTAGTATCTTTAGCATGCCATGATGCAGCTTTGCTTCCTAAAAATTGAATAGGCTGGTCAGATTCTTCACTTTTCTTTGCATTCGATGTGGGCAACTTTGTCGGAGGTGCAGAAGCACAAATTTTTGATGAAGTTATACTTCTAGCAAACCTGTTAGGCAGTCTGTAAGAATTATTTATACGATTTATATAATGACAGTAACAAGTTTATCTAAGAAAATAATTTTGAAAAATATTACCGGCTCCCTATTAATTTCGCTGCGTTAAGTAAAATTAAACTCATGATTTACTTATATTGCGAAATCAGAAGCAAAATAAAAAAAGTAAAAATCTTTGTTTTTTTTTTATTTTTATTTTGACATTTATAGTTATGTGACAGTACATATTAAAGACATCAAACTAAACGTCATAACAGAAAACAGAAGGTAAACAGTCAAAATAGTCTGTATTATATAAAATTTGGCGCTATTAAAAAACAAAATATTTAACAATTCGAAGATGGATAGCGAAGATTTATTTGATCGTCAAGAAAGTGAAGAATTTAATATAGATGAACATTTAGGTCATGACAAACAGGAAAATGTAGAACAAGGTGATCAAAAATTAGATGATAATTTAATAGACCAAAGTAAAAATAATACGGATGGGTTAATGGAAGACACTGAAAACATTGAAGATGCTTTGAATGAAGAAAGTGCTGACCCAACAGATAAACAAAGCGCATCTGCAAACAAAAGTAATAGTTATATATGCTTTATAAAATCGAAAAAATAAAATATTATTTTTTAGATAAGGTTCACGAACCGAAACTGATTCAATTACCATTGTCTAAAATTCGAGCGTTAATGAAATTAGATCCAGATCTTCATTTAGCATCTTCGGAAGCTGTGTTCTCTGTAGCTAAAGCAACAGAGTTATTTATAGAAAGTTTAGCGAAGGAAGCTTATTCCTTTACTGCACAAAGTAAAAAGAAAACCGTCCAGAAAAAAGATGTGGACTTAGCTATATCATCGATAGATAGTTTAATGTTTTTAGAAGGTTCAATGAATTTTTAAAATTTGCATTTTTCTAGGGGATAAATAAATAAACTATATAGGAATATATATAATTTATTTTCATTTAAGATAATATTCTTGCGATAATAAGATATGCCAGTTGCAGTTGTATTAATTTTTTGGTGAAAAAACGCTTTTATCTTGAAAATGTTATGGTGTCTGCTATTTCGCCTGAATATATACAAGTCAAAATGTAATTTTCACAATCTGAAATGCAACAAAATTAAAAATTTATTCAATTTAAACTATTTGAAATTGAAATTTTGTTTGAAAACCTTCTTTAATATTTTGTTTGTGCTAAGAAATGGGCTGAATGATAAAGCTTTAATCTTAATTAATGAGAGAAATAACTTTTAATCTTAATTATATTCTTTACAATAATTAATATTATATTTTAATACTACAGGCTATAGTTTCAGAGCAAACTCAACTCAGCTAAAAGCTGTTTAAAGGAAAGTAAAGTGCTTATTTAAACATAAGGTTAATTCGTTTTCAAGCTAAAAGCGTTTTTCTTGGAAAAAAAATGGGGCTATACCATTTTAACTAAAATTTTTGTATGATACAAATAATATATACATTAGATAAAAAATACATTAGGTTTCTGCAAGCAGGTAGTGAATTTACTTGTTAGTAGATTTACTTTAGTTAAAATTTCAAGTTTAAATTTTTATTTCTATGTATAAATTTTGTCCGTGCACGGGAGATTATATGAGCGATATTTCTCCTGTCTTTCGGGAGGGGAGTCAGTATTAAGATCTGTATATTCAATTCTATTGTTTATTTTGTTGCTAGCATCGTTGGACAGTTCCATTTGTAGGATAAAGCTGAAAATTAAAAGCTCTGGAATTTTCCTTCAAAATTTAATACATTTCAGTAAAAATCTTTAAGATTCTTTTATTTTTTGATTCAAATTCAAAAATCATTTCTTAAAAATGTCGACTGATTTTTAGAATGACTATTTTAATAAAAAATTACTAATAATTTGCAAGTCATAGCGTTTAAAATTAATAAAAAGCATAAATCGCGACCATTGTGTGAGTTTATTCTTTTTATTAAAATCTTTAAAGTCTTGAAAATCTTTGAAATTCAAATTTTAATCAATATCTTTTTGCTATATTCCCAGGGGATTTAGTTTTATTTCCTAAAATAAAACAATTTTTAAAGCCTCTGTTTGTTAAATTCTAGAAAATTTACCATTAGTAAGCTGAAGGCAGTAGTAACGGTGTTTTAAATTCAAAATTTCAATGTTAATTTCGGACCATGTGAATTGAAACAGTTGACAGAAATTGTTATGTATGTACATAATTATATAGAATATTTTTTAAAGCAAACGTAAACAAAATAATTTATGTATGCATGTACAAATTAAACAAACTTATAGCACAGAGAAAAAATGTCGGCTAATGAAAAATTGATACTTAATTTAGAAAAGCAGTTAGAACGACTTGTTGAACAACTTAAAGATTTGGAAGACTGCCGGTATTTGAATAAAAGTATTTCATTATAACTCTTCTTCAAAATACAATTTTTAGAAGTGAGCTTTCTGAAGATGAATACAGTCTGTTGAAAAATGAAACAGCAGAACAAATTAAGGAATTTGAGGCTACTTTAGATCGTCTACAAAAAGGGAACGTTACCTTAAATAGTAAATTCTCTGTGATGAAAATTGTAAGTTGATGTGAAAAGAAAACTTCCTTTTATTCGTAATAAAATACTTTTATTTTTCGCTAATATATTTCGTGCGCTACACACGCACTTTATCAAAGCTGATTTTCTTCTCTGAAAAAGAAAATTACCAATTAAAAAAAAATTATATTTCGGAAAAATTATCAACCATTGAAAAAAAAAAAATATTTTGATTGTAAGTTGAATTATTTGAAATAACATACAAGTCCTTAATCCACATATGTATGCACATACATATGCATGTAGGAAGGTATCTACCCATAAAAAATTTATGTTTAAAGTCAAAACATAATTTTAATAGATTTTTCATTTGTAAATTTATAATTTTAGGCTATTCGCAAAGCAATATCATCAGCTTTTAACACAAAAGACATGATTCAAATGTTTGGCGACCAAAGTTTAAATGATCTTGAAAGGCAGTTAGTACAGATCGAAGAAGATTATCATTTAAAAAAAATCGATCAATCAGCTTTCGAAAAACATAAGATTGATATATTGAAACAGCTTCAAACTGAAGGGGCAATAATATCTGAAATCAATTTAAAATTTTTAAAAGATCGACAAGACCAACAACTTTACCAAAGGTTGGAACAAATTAATGAAAATTAAGATTTGTGCAAAGGGACAACACCATTCAGGCGGGCTGTATTTTGAACGCACATAATTTAAATCAAAGTATTTTTTTTAAATCTAAATTTTGCAAATTTTCTTCACATACTATTGACTAAACATTTTGTATTTTTTTAATTTCAAATAAAATTTTACTACGATATTTTTTTAATGTGAAACATTTTAAATATTGTTTTAATATTTAATAGAAAATTTGAAATAATATTCATTTATTCTAGCCAATGGAATCGAGAACCATATTTGGCTGGTTTTCTTTCAAAGTCATCTGGTAGTTTAGGTGTAGCATCCCCATATACGACCTTTTCTTTTGGTGGAGGTGCTGGACGATTAGAATGATGAATCTACAACAACATAAATTTTTTTAGGTTTACATTATTACTAATAGCTATTCATTTACCCTTGCTCGGCAGAAATATCCATAATCTTCTCGGTCTAGCCCCATTTTATCTTTCATACATTTATCAAAAACACCCTGTGTAGTACGGCATCTAAAAGAATTATATTTTTTCAGAAAATTATGAAAAGTAAAAAAAGTATGCATGTTTTAAATAAAAGCAAAATTGGTGTATATATATATGTATATTTTCACTCATATTTTCGTAGGTACTTTACTTGCACACAACTTTGATATGTTAATTCTAAAGAACAAGAATAGGTATACAGGTACCTACAAAAACAAAATCAAATAATTTTGTCTAAAGAAGCGAATTTTTTAATTTTTCTATAAATGTAGTGCCATATTGATTTTATTTAATTTACATTAATGTGAACCTTCTTACATGCAGTGTTAATACTTACAGCGAAAATTGCTGCTTTCCACTACTTTTATCTATACAGTTTGCATATTGCATAAATTCTTCAGCACAACTGGCCTTTACCTGTCTGAAGAAATTTAAAGCACAGTTTGTAACAGCCTTACCTTCTTCAATACACTTTCGGGGATCGTTTAGTTCTTGTCGACATAACATAAACTCCTATAAATTTACAAGTACATATATTTCATATATTGTTATACATAGATTATTTTTGCAATAGTAACTAGGTTATGAGTTAAGTGGAATACTTATGTAATGAATAATTGATGTGAATACTATTCATCAAACTTAAATTCATTTGAAAATGTTTTTAAATTTGAAGATTTAAAATTTAAAGAGAAAAAGAAAATGTAAAAATTACATTATTTTGAAATTCGCAAGCTTTTCCTAAATGAAATGCACCAGCTCGTAGGGCTGAACTAGATAAATTAACTTCCGGCACTGTCAACTCCTCATCCGATGGAAGTGTTGTTTTTAGAGTAACAACCATATTTCCAAGATTTAATAACTTTTTTTATGTTATGTATTTAGTTTAAAATAAAAAAAAAATTTTTTTTAATATTGGATTTGAGGTGGAATGACAGCTCCAACTAAATAAAAAACATATGTTGCGGAAAGAAACAAAAAAAAAGAAAACGCTGTCAGAAAGTTTCATTACCATCGAATCAGAACAGTTAATAATTTCGAGTGCCTCTAGTGTCATTTTACTAAACCTGTTTCAATATGATACTCTCATGCGGATCATTCGTTTTTGCCAATGTAAAGTCAAACTTGGTTGGTAAGCTGAACATTTGCATAACAGAAGAGAAAAACCATATCAGTGCTGCCAGCTGTGTTAAAATTAGAGACACCTGCAATGTTAAGTCACCTAAAAACTTAATGTTTTTTAAAAGTCAAAAGTTAAAAATTTAAATTTTTCGAATTTTAAAATCATGTAAATCTGAAAAGATTATAAATAAAGTTGACATTCATGAGAAAATTTTTCATATATAAAAAAATAACTAATTCTAGTATGGTTTTAAGTCCCTGTAACTCAGGACTTGCTGGGTTGTAAGTATTATCTCCATATAAAAGTTACCTACTCACGAGGGTCTTTACAATGTCATATATCAGTGATCTTACATAAGTAAAAAGAGACAGTGCATATAACGTAAAATTAAAATAATAAGACAAATGTTTAAAGTTAAACTAAGTTCTACATTAACTTTCTTTAACTTGAACCACTGTTAATGACGGTCATGAAGATATGACTGTCAATAAATAAGTATAATGTACATAATGGAGAAATATAAACATTAACGTTTGGTAATTAGGCATTAACATTACGTAATGGTAATGGTTTTCTCAGTTCTTTTGTTTTTTTTTTAATTCCTAACTTTTATGTTATAGATTTTTAATCGACATACATATGAACATAGGTACATCTCGATTTATGGTATTAAACCTTTCAGTTTTATTTTTTAGGTAAAATTAACAAAGTTTTAAGGTAGTTAACAAAAGAATTGGAATATGCTCACGATATGAAGATTTGTTAATTTCTAGTATTTTCTTAAATCCTTCATTGAAGTTTTTTAGCAATTGTAAGATTATTAAATCTGGGATGAAGAAAAAATAGTCAAATAAATAAACATTTTTCTAATTATAATTTACAAAAGATTATTTTCTTATTAGAGTAATTAAAAAATACATTTTCTTATCTATACAAATGAAAATTCCCAAAAGGAACAAAATGATATTTAATATTTCATGTACGTATGTATGTTTCTACATATTATATTTAAATAAAGTAACATAGTTCTTTTATATAAAGTTATGTATAAATTATAAATTTATAAAAAATTGATATTATTTTTAAATACATATAATTACTATAAGTACGTACATATATATATATATATATATATATACATATGTAGATTTACGGGTATCTAATTTTACTAAACTTATTTTTCATTTGTTACTTCAATGACTATCGCATCACCATTCTTATTTTTGTCTACTTCAATATTTTCATTTTCTTCAGTATTTTCTTTAATTTCTTTAATTTCATCGGCAGTTTCTAATGTCATTGTTGTTTCTTTTTTATTATTAACTTCTTCAATATTCATTTTGTTATTATTTTTCTGCACTGATTCAATTAATTCTTCACTTTTATTCCACAACCATTCCATCATTTCTTTATCTTTAGCTTTTGGCAAAACTGGAGCTCTTATACAGTCAAGATAGAAATAACCAGAAGTTTTCTCCAATGAAGGATCTAGTGCCAAACGTAATTGAGTTTGGGCTCCAGCTCTTGGTGATTTTAAAAAATATGATGCAATTGGATTTAGAAATGCTCTAAAAATAAATAAATGAAAATTAATAATAATTTTAAACATCTGGAAATTAATTTCAAATTGAATCAGGTACAATATATGTATATTTTTGTGAAAATTCATTGCAAATTATTGCAATTAAATAGATCCCCGAATATATTTGTATTATAATGATCACAAATTCTTAAAAATTTTACAGCATTTAATTATTTATATAAAATATATTTTACTACCCGTACTTTGTTTTATTTTTGATTAAATGTCTTCCAAGTTCAGTTTTTACTACACCAGGATGACAGCAGTTTACTGTAACACCAGTTCCCTCTAATTTACTAGCTAAATGTTTCGAAAAAAGAATATTAGCTAATTTACTTTGACAGTATGCTTCGATTTTTGCATATGATTTTTCACTCATTAAATCATCTTTTTTAATACGACCCCATAAATATATTCCACTGGCTACAACGACAATACGACTTGGTGCTGATGCTTTGATTGTATCCAAAAGTAAATTTGTTAAAAGAAAATGTGCTAAATGATTCGTTCCAATTTGCATTTCAAAACCATCTTTTGTAAGCATATGCGGACATGCCATAACACCAGCATTATTAATTAAAATATCTAAACGATTTTCTTCTTTATGAAATCTGCAATAATAATATTACAAAAATATTATTTGAATGGAAATAAATTAAATATGTATGTTTGTTATATATGTACATAAATTGTTCTGATTTTTATTATTGTATATACATAGATAGCTCATTTTTCTTTTTTCTTACGTGTCAGCGAATTTCCTAACTGAATCCAATGATGAAAGATCTAATGTACGATTAAAAATCTTTTCATTTTTAGTTTTTTCGATAATTTCTAAACGAGCAGCTTCACATCGAATTGGATCCCTGCATGCCATATAAATTTTTGCTCCCCTTTTAGCTAATTCTAAAACAGTTTCTTTACCTATTCCAGTATTACATCCTGTAACAATTACAACTTTATCATCAATACGATTATTTTTCCAGTATGATGGTCCTTGAATGATTTTTCTGTAAATTAAAATTGAGAATAATTGTATTTATAATGAAATAATTTATTATTTATATATATATGTGTGCATATCTGTGCATAATAGTTTATAGTATTATGATTTTAGTAATTATTTAGCATAATTATTTTGCATAAGTGAATGTAATTATGTACATATACTCGTATGGCTTATGTATATAGTAAAATGTATAAGCCTAATAGATATTTAATATCCTTTTTTAATTTTTGTTTACATATTGCATATACAGATGAATCAATATAAGGTTGTATATTTTACAAGTCTATATATATAATTAAAATTCTTGGCCATGAAAGTTTGAAAATTTTACTTTTAGGGAAGAAGATTTTATTTCTAACTGAAGATTTTACTTGTAGGGAATCGACATAACATATTGGCTATTATTGTTTTCACTGCAATATTTGAAAAGGGATTAGTTTTAAAGTATGTTTTTTCAGACTAGTATTTAGTCATATAATTTCATATGGGCTCAGTTCTTCTATATTTCCTTTCAGTATATAATATTTCGTTTTTGGTAACTGTTATGTTTAATTTTAATTGTAAATATATGTACATGCATATTATAATGTATATAACAATAATGTACCTTCTTAGGGTTAAACTGTAAAGCTTTCGTTTCACACAAAATGAACTGTTGAGTTTAATCAATGGAAATATTTGAAAATGTCAGACTCTATTCGATACATTATGATTTTATAACTGAATTTAAATGCTGGCTTGATATAGTTTCAATTTTAACCCTGATTCTACATATTCTTTTGCTGTGTGTGGTTAATAATTAATCAAAATTTATACAATTCTGCATTATTTTTGGGTATGTTTTTAAAAATTTTTAAAAATATTTAAACATTTTCAATGAAAAATAAAAACAAAAAAAATCCACCTTATTTTTTTTTTAAATATTTTAAGAGTTTCAAACTCATATATGTATGTACAGGTATACATAAAATAGAAAAATGAGAAAAGGAAATTGAAATTATGAAATTGAATTTCCGTTCTGATTTTTCATTACCAAAATAAAAAACTTTAATATTTTTTTTTTTTAAATAAAATGTACCCACATTATACATGGGCGTATATACACGATATATTTAATAACTAATTTTCTGATTGTAATTATTTCTACATGTATAAACACCGCCTATTAACTTTTACCAACAATAATATATGAAGTCATCATTTTGTATAATTATATTGCTTTTATTTTAGTTACCTTTTGTTTTTTGAAAACAGTATTCCATTACCACTCTTTTTCTTATTCATAATTTTACAATTTCAAATCTATATTAAAAATACTAGTTATATATTCATGCTATGTATATAAATATCACAGTATACGAGTATTAAATGCAGGTGGCTTTTGCCACAATATACATATATCTTCTATACACATATTGCATATGGGTTTAGAGTTCATTGAATTAAAATTTCACTTTTGCCAATAATGGTAGTATATATTGTGTATGTATGTAATATTATATATTATATAGGTGAGACCATAAATAAAATCATTTTATGCTATTCAATAACAATAAATTTTCATCTTATATGTAGGTATTTGTTATTTTAGTTATTCTTTTTCTTTTACATGTAAGTTTTACAGTATAGAAGGGAGATATATAATTAAAAAATTTCGTTTATGATACTATTCAATTTATTTATGTTTTATTAGTTGAAAAACACAATAATACATGTAAAATGATACCTAAGACAGGCTTGTCACCTGTCGAGTTAATTGATTGACTTATGAAAACTTAAATTTGAATTTAAAACGTTAAGTGGAAGAGGGCCCTAATATTCCAAAGTGGAAATTTATCTTATAAGTCATTGAGAAATTAGGACACACATTTAAATATTCAAAATTTTGTGCTTCAAAATTTATATTAAACATTATATTTTATAAATGCATTTGTAAATTATTGCATGAGGCAAATATGCAATATGTTTGACAATGTTATAAGTGTACAAAGCTATTATATCATTTACTCCTTTAATATTTGTAAAATATTTTCCATTTTGTTTTTATTTTAGGAAATTTTTAATATAAAATGAGGATAGAGTTGAATATTTTTCAATCTACTTATAGAAAAATATTTAGAAATTTTTTTTGAGTAATTTTTATTACTGCTATTTAGATTATGTAAAGAGAGGGAGGCAGTCTACTCTTATACACATTTTCGATTTTTGAATGAAAGGAAAACTATATTTACAAAAAAATTTTCACATTTCCGGAATTGAGTGGTGTTTTTACATATTTTCAAATATCGTTCAAATTTTCGATTTTCGTCAAAATTTTAAATTTCTCCTTGTTAGAACCAAAAGTGTTTATAGTCAAATTATAATAAATTATGTTATAAAAATAACATATCGCTATTTTGCTGCAACAGTGACGTTACTCAAAGAATTCGATTACTAAGTTAATCATACAAAAATATAAGAACTTAAAACATTTTTGTTTTGTTCAAAAATACAATTTTTCTAATTACCCAAAAACATTAAAATTTGTTATTTCTTGTTTTCAAACGTGCAAAATTTTGAGTTATGACAATGTTGCAGTAAACAAGCATATTTTTTTGTATGTGCATACATTATACAAATATTTTTTGCGAGTACATATGTACTTATGTATGAGTAAGTGCCTATTTGAATAAATTTTTTATTATTTAAAAAAATGCGTTAAATGTGCAATTGAGCGCATATATTTAAAAAAATTAATATTTAAATTAATCAAAGTACACAATTTATTGAAGATTTTTAACTGAAAACTGATGTTATCGCAGAATATACTATATTAAAACTTTTTATACTTATAGCATTTATGAAATAAGTAACGTAGTCACGTAATTTACTCTTTTGTACCTATAAAAATTTAATTTTTTCTTATAAATTTAGAATCGATTTGCGGATCAACAGTGTTAATTAATGATTTAAATTATTGCCACTTTTATGACCAGCAACCAAGTAAATTTTAAATTTTAATTAACGTTTGTACTTAATTATTGTTTGTAACAAGTGGCATTTTATAAATACATAAATATATTTATACGTTACATATATGTAGATATCATTTGAACTGTTAAATTTATTGAACTATACACAGATATTAAAGTAACCAACCGCTCTTGAACTTTTTGTTTTCATTCTTGTTTTTTGTTTGTTTTTAGTTTCAAATTGCAGATTAAACTTTAATTGAATAAACTTTAATTTAGAGTTTTTAAAATTTTTATTATTCTATGGTTTTACATTTATTATATATGTACAAACATAAAAACACACATGAGCTTTTTTTGATTTTTTAAGAATGTTCTTTAAGAAATGAAAATTTATGTCAAGAATAGAGTTTACAAACCACATTAACATGTATATGAATAAATATGTATATATATTTAATATAATATAAAATAGAAGGTTATTTAAAAAGAAAAACTGGTAATTTATATGAAAAATATCTTAAGAGTTGAAATACCAAAAAAAATATTAAATTGGAATTTATTTATATATAAGAATATTTAAGAATATCTGAATAAATATTTTATAAATATTTTTATTTTTAGATTGGTTAAAGATTGGTGTATACACTAGTAGACCTTGTACTTTAGTAACTAAAAATATTTGTAATATTAGATGTTAATTATAAGATTTTAATTTCAAATTCAATTTTATATAGATAATTGTATTTAATTTAAATAATTAAGTTTATTTTCTTAAATAAAATAATTAATAGGTATATGTGTACATATATAATATGCGTTTAATATTAAACAAAAGTTCAATTAGCAATAATTTAATTGCTGCTCGTATAACACTTAAAAATTGAAGTCAGTTTTAGTTCAGAGTTCAAAAATATTTTTATATTTAAGGTTTTATATTACTTATTTTATTTGACACAAAAAAATTTAATTTTAAATTTATGGAATAATTAAAATATTTTTTTTTTCTAGTAAATATTTTAGGCATTTTTATTGTTATTATTTAAAAAAATTTAAGTTTTACGTTCTAATAATTTTATTATGTTTATATTTTACTTAAAAGTATATAAAGTCCCTGGAATTATTATTTGGTCAAACGCTTAGTTTTGGTAGGACTGCAAAAGAACTATCCATAGTTTTCGACATTATTACTGAAACATTAAGTAATTTATAAATTTTTTGATTTATAATTGAAAAAAAATCTTTAAATTAATCGCGAAATAAAAAGATTCATAATGTTGACAAAGGGCCATGCCGCTTTTTTTGGGCAAGAAATTTCTGAAAAAGAGTAAATTAAGTAAATTAACAAAACAGTATGCTTGCACGCAAGAAATTTCTAAAATAAAATGAATAAACTTTTATCGATTTTTTCGGGTTTAACTCGGATTTTGTTTTCTTTCTCGTTACAGAAAAACGAATGTTCTACGGATATAATCCTTATATAAATTTTTTAAAGTGGCTCACTAATAAATTCTTAAGAATATTTCTAAATAATTATTTTTTTATTTAATTTTAGGTTATTTTTGGAAAAAAAAAATTTTAAAATATTTAACAAAACAATATTGAATTCAATGTTACAAAAAAAGTTTCTCACTTAAATCTTTTTATTTTTATACATGAACGAACATATGTTCGAAGGGTATTATTAATTTGTCACTTTATTTGTAACGCCTAGAAATAACGGTATGAGATATAGACGCAAATACATTTTTTTGATAAGCATCGAGTTGTGAGGCGATTTGTCCATATTTATTTACGTGTTCGTCCGCCACAGCGATAACTCAAAATTTATTTGGCTAAGTTTTGGCTGATTTATTATATGACAAACGCTAAAGGCCTAATTGAATTGGATCTCGTATAGAGGTACTATTCGAGTAGTTGTCATACAATTTCAAAAAATATTTAGTCATATGGTGTAAAAACTATTGAAATAACATTGGTAAACTTTTGAACACATACGATTATGGTTATATTTTCATAATTTTCCTAAAAGCCTTTTGACATTGTATAA